TCATCCTCGAATTTTCATTGCACAAGGAGATAAGATAATGTCTACACATCTACTATTCATTTTCACATATCACCTCTTCAATAAATCTTTTGTGCTATCACAACCTTTACTTCATTATTTTAATTCTTCCATTACCTTTTTCCTTGATGCTCTCACATTCCTTTTATATCCCTTATACTTATCCCTCCTTATCATTTTAAACTTTTCTGTCAATTCTTACTTCCGCCAAACATACAAACCCTTTATCTTTATTACACTCACTATCATACTACTTTATTATTTAACTCATTTCTTCCAATAAAACATACCCCACCATCAAACTATTCACATATTATACATTCTTCTCAATCAAAAATAGTTCGTCCTCCATTTCCTTAACTTATCAAACCTTCATTCTCACTTATTCATAATACAATTTCCTTGGTTCGCATTCAAGCATTCCATTTACCTTTGTCTTATAAATTGATTACTGATGTATATATTTTCCAATTCCTCCAAAATGATAGTATCCATCACTTGTTCTTTTAATATTCCCCTAATAACACCTATTCCTTCTACCTTATCTTGTCACTGAAGTAAAGAAACTACTTTATTTCAGAACGATAGAGATTCTCTAACTCTATAGTTTCCAATCTTACTTCAAATCATTTGAATAGTAATTCCATCAAATTAACAGGGAATTCAATTCTCTAAATTCTAATGGAACATTCTCAACATATCTTATTTATCCAAACATTGTACCCAAATAAATTTGTCACTTCCACATCACTATAAATAACTTCTAATTGAATTCTCAATTCTCACATCAATTTACTACTAATATATGAATATGCAAGTTCATATCAATCAATATCATAACGTATCTATTACATAATAAAAAGGTATATGTTATCATCTCTGGATCATCAAAATCTTTATTAGTATTAATATTATACACTCGAGCAGTGGAGTGTATTTCCTGTTGAGTAGATGATTCAGGTTGACTTTTACCTCTTCCTCTTTGAGACATCGAAGCAGATCGCTCCGACTGTACTGGTTCTCCTGTCCCCAATAGGCAATCTCTCATGAAATATCCCACTTCACCACATCGGAAACAAACTCCAGTAACTACCCTACACGTTCTGCTATGGCTTCTTCCACAAATTTCACATTGTCTAATTTGACTTTATTGTGCTCGTCCATCACCAGACTCTACAAATTGAGTATGTCTAGCTCTCATCTGATTTGATTCTCTTGCAACGGATTTCATCAACTATGATTGTGTTGGAGATCGAAAACCAAAATCTCTACTTCTCTTAGGTGGTGCAAAACTTGATGAAGCCCCAGTTCTTTTAGATGGTTGGTTTCTTTGATTCCCAAATCTTTCATTTTGAGCTCTCTCTAAGGCTTTAGCACAATTTACTACCTCTTGAAACGAGGATAAATTCAACACTATCAGCATCTCTTTTAAACTTGGGCGTAAGCCCTCAACAAACCACTCGCAAGCATCTTTCTCTGTAGGCACTAACTCTGCTACAAAGTGACTTAATTTATTAAATTCACACTCATACTCATATACAGTGCGATCTTATTGCTTCAGGTTCAAGAATTATTGCTTCATTTGCCTGATAAATTGGTCTCATATATATTTGTGTTTGAACTCTTTTAAGAACAAGGATCAGGTCACTTCGTCACTTGTCATTCTTAAAGTGACGTTTGTCCACCAGATTTTCGCTTACCGACAAAACAAGGAGACCACTCCATCTAACTTCTCTATATTAGAACAGTGGAGACCATCTAACATAATTTTTACATGATTAAGCCAAAGGTCTGCAACAATAGGACCTTCTTCGACTTCACCTTTAAACTCTGGTGCTCCTAAACCCTTCAACTCCTTTGTAACATTCATTCTCGGAGTTGAAATAACAGAAGGTTGAAAACGCGCCAATATCGCGTCCAGTGTTCTGAAGAACACATCTTGATCAGTTACAGACACTTCAGAAGGTGCATGTTCTTCACCTTGCCTGGTCAGGGCAGGTGAATTACTACTTTCAGTGGGCCTTTCATCTCCCGCTTCACTTCTAGAGCTACCATGTCCGGACATCTATAAGAACATAACCATATCGTTCTATTAGCAAAACAACATACTTATTATTATATCATATCAGAAGTTTTCACTATTTTGTTGGCATGAATACTTTATAGAACACTCTAGACTCCGAATTATACCGAGAATCGACTAAACCGTAGCTCTGATATCATTAAATGTAACACCCTCAACCCATACCCGACCCGGATACGAGTCCGAGGTGTCACATTGACTTTTCAAACTTTGACTCTTGACGAAAAATCAAGGAAATTTAAAACATTCATTAACATAACATTGTTACTTTACACAAGTTAACCAAAACAAGACAAAACTGATCAGAACATTTGTAACAAACACTTTTCTTACATGCCAACACTATACACAACAAAAGACATACTTTATCCGTTACTTCTGATCTGATCTTCTAGCAATGTTGTTGTTCTTGCCACCCTATTTCCGCTCTTCCTGATTCTTGGTACCTACGTGTAAATCACTTACACGCTAAGTCATAGACTTAGTGAGACATATAAATATAATAATATGCATTTCGTATGAATATGAACATGCAATCTATCCATTCAATCCTGTCGTATACAATTCAATGTAAACAATAATAATATGGTAACATATAACTATAACAATGCAATTACCTTTGATAACCTTTTATAGGCCCATGTACATTTTTTAGAACTCAATGTATTCGAGTACATTGAGGTTGTGCACTATTGTTGTCACTACAGCTCGTATGGGGTCCCACTAGGGGCTATGAAATTTTGTCCCGAATGACCTATGTATTGTATTTGTCCCGAATGACCACTCCTTAAGAACCATATACATATTCCAGTTGATCAAATCTATCTCAAAAAACCCTGTAAATGTTCCAAATGATATATATATGTCCCGAAAGACCACGTAGAACCCTCGACTCTTGACATGCCAACTATACCTATAGTTCTCATATCGTATACCATGGGCATTATTCTTATGTTTTATATGTTCATGTTATTTTTCTTGTGATCACATAACTCATATCACTTACCATGTCACATGTGCATTTGAATCTATTCACATATATCAAATCATATGAACATATATACTTTATGCATGTATCATAATAATTATCATGTATGCATGTTCATAACTATTGTGCTATGAAAATCAACATAGGAATTACACTTATCACAAGTCTTATTCCATTGTACCATACTTCTAATATGTACTCACCTTAGCCTTGCTTTGACTCGATTCTAATCCTTCAATTGTTCCGGAACGAGATTACGTTCTAAATCTACGTAGTAATACATTGATACATATCAGTATACTTACTGATATATTCTAAACTATTATTCCTTAGGCTAAAAAGAAAGTTATTTTTATCTTTTAATGAAGGTATGCATCAATGCACTACACCATGTATCGATGCATCCCTTGACGGGTGCATCGATGCACTATCTATGCATCGGTGCATAAATCTCATTCGATGTTTATATTTTAAACAGGTGTATCGATGCACTCCTTATGCATCGATGCACTAATTGCATTCGATGTTCATTATTTGAGAGTGCATCGATACACATTGAATGTGCATCGATACACACAGCTCAGAAATTGTATTTTAAGCCCGAAAATCATCAATTCTTCACTCAATTCTTCTCTTTTAAACCCCTATCATGTCATTAAACCCAATCATTATTACTTAAACCAACTTATATCCATGAAAATCATCTTTAACCTCAAAATTCTATCCCTCATATGTAATTCAAGAATCATACTCAAATTTTAATATGTTCTAAATACAATTCTAACACTTCATATTCCTTAATTAGCATGATGACAAGTCAAATTTAACTTCAAATTCAACTTATCAACTCTTTTCCATAAATTCATTTAAAACCCATTTTCTTTAATCTCTTATAACTTCTTCATCTTTTAATTATAAGACAACTTAAGCTTTTCTTAAGCTTAGTTATCATCTAATGATCAAAACCTAACCTTTAATACATCAAATAACCAACTAATCAGAAAACTCACCTTTGCTCTAGCTTGGTTCACGATGGAGAGAAAATAGAATGATGAAGAGAACTCTGGAAACTTTGTTTCCTCTCCCCCTCATTTCTCACGTGTATATATCTCATCCTTATCACCTTTTAATTTATTTATTGGTCAAATGGCCATTTTGCCCTTCTATTCACTTAATAATTACTAACAATCCTTCCAAATAAAACATTAAACTATTCAATCATCCTACTTTAACACCAAATTCTAAAGTTTTACAATTTAGTCACTAACCCGTATTTTGGGATGTTACATAAATTCATAATGGTCCAAACTTTATATAGTTGATAGTTTGTGGATGGGCGGATATGAGGTGGGCGGATGCAGGGCGGGTAAGGACTTAAACTCATAACCTATTCACTACTCACAACGGGTATTTCTTTTTACACCACATCCGCCTACTATCCAGTAAACTTATATGTATTCCCACCTCAATTTGTGCATATACGGTGTGAAATCCATGAAATTGTACTCGTCTACTATCCCTAATGATAATATGAATATTTTTTAATATTACTACTTTGATAATAAAAAAATTAATATATATATATATATACATTGATGGGACAAACAAGGTTATTATAATTTTTTATACTTCATTCTTTTTTATTTAAATAAAAAATCTAATTAATGAAAAATATAAAAAGAATGATAATGGGAAAATCTTATAGAGCGTTTTTTTCTCCCTTATATTGTCTTATTTGATCACTTGTGTATAAATATTTGTGTTGGTATTAAACTTAAGGTGAGGATGATGACTAATCGTAGGGTGGGTGGTAGGTGAATAGATTTGGATATCCATAAATCATGTAGATTTGATAGTAATCATATTGAGGGTCATAACTAATCGAAGAATATGAAACTCTTATAATAATTATACAATATCATGACAAACCATATTTAATTTTCCATTGATCATCTTCAATACAATAATGTTTTGAGATTTCTATGTTTGTTTTTGTCCTTAAAACTCAAATTAATCGACACGTATTCATCCACCAAATGCACAATTATTAAAGACCTTTTCCCCCCCTTCTGTGAGAACAATTAGGGACCCAATTACAGGCACAAATAACTTAAAGCACGCTTTATTTAGACCCATACCTCTCGACCCTTTCATCAATCCACTCCCTCATATCCTTCAAAACAAGATCGGCATTCTCGTCAGGCTCCCCTTGAATCAACGAATGATACATCCCTTCATAGATCTTCAAGGTTTTGTCAACAGTCGATGCCTTCTCATACAACAATTGGGAAGATGATGGGCATGTTACACCATCGCTCGTCCCATGGACCGTCAAGAATGGCGCCTTCACCTTCGAAAAATTGTCCTGAATGTACTGGCAAACCCGAGCCAGCTCTCTCATGGTTCCGACCCTTGGTGGTCCGGTGTATCTTCTCGGGTTCGACGCTATGATCTTAAGCTTTTCCGGGTCTTTGATTGCTTTCCCAACCATCTTGTTGTCCGGCATTGTCGCCCATGTATCGGCTAGTCCGAAGAGCAAACCATACATGAACAAATGGACCTTACTTGGTTTCATATTCTCGGGCATCACGAAGAGTGGTGCCGAGAATATTAGACCGGTCCAAGTTTCGGGCTCCGATTGGAAGTACATCAGCATTGTTGCTGCTCCTCCCATGGATTCACCGAAGAGGAATGCAGGTAAGTCTTTGTATTCGTCACTGTTGCGGACGTGCTTGAAGAATGATAAGGATGTGGCTGCAACTTTCTCCATGTCACCTACATCATGAATCAGCACCTCGATAAGCAACTCATCTTCAAAACATCCAACCAATTTCAAATAGGGATAATAACAAAATTTCCCCAACGTTTGCTCAAATTGTCACTTTACCCTCTATTCATTTTCATCTCGAGACATTTTGCTCCACAATAAAACATTAGGGACTAAAATGCTCAGAAAATAACAAGGGGCAAAGTGACCATTTATGCCACCATTGGAATAATTTTGTTATTATGCCTTTCAAATACCATAGACTAGAGCTTCAATGGCGAATGAATCAAAGGTTGATCAAAATAACAAGTTACTTCGTTTTCTAAAGACATGGTACTACAAATTGAACAATTGTTACAACAAAACTAAGTTAATGGAAGCAAAGCTTTAATTTTCTCAAGATCGCTTCTCTTTCACAAGTTCTTTTTTATTATCATTCCTATAAATAATTACTCACTCCATAACTCTGTTGAGTGTTTATCTATGTTTTTCTTTCCTCAATTCAACCCTTTTTTTTAATTATGATATCATGAATAAAGAATATCTTAATGTGCGTAATCCGGATTTTTAGGTGTTTATATTCAGACATGATTGAAAATCTTGCGAAAAGCCCAGATTTAGCTGCTCATTCCACACTAAAATAAGAACTAGTAATGGAAAGTACCTAAGTAGCAACGGAGACCATCGGATCTGCCATGACCGAAGAGATCGGCGGCGAAAACAGCGTAACCCCAAGTGGAAAAACTGATGCAAATCTTCTGGAAGAGCCAGCCGGTGTCGGAGCCATAGCCGTGGGTCATGTAGACGGAGGCCTTCGCTTTTTTATCCAAAGGGAGGAAGCTCTGAGTGAAGAGTTTGCCGTTGGGCGTCTCGAAGTAAGACTTGGTGTTGCGAACGCCCTGCGACGTGTAATACTCTTCCTCCGGCATATCTCCCCAGAAATTCGCTTCCATTTTTCCCCTCAAACTCCTTCCTTGCTTCCTTTGGTTGGTGAAGGTGGAGATGATGGTTTAGTTTATTTATTTATTGGTTTTGAGGGAATAAGATGAAGTGGTGTTCACACCTCACCAACCCAAGTTTGTTGTGCGGGGGTGGGTAAGAGTTGGTGGACTGACTTTTATGTGGGCTCCATTTTGGGTTAGGTGTGGAAATTGACAGCTTGTTTTTCCTTTTTTACAAAAGCAAATTAGTGTCCCAGACGGCGAGCAAAGCGGCTGAATTCGCGGCGGCGCTCAGATTTTCTATTCGGGTTTTGGGAAGATCTAACTCGAAAAGAGGAGGAAGAAGAGAGCGGTTGTTGGGAAATGAAATAGACGACCGTGGGGGAAATGTTGGGCCTTACATTAATATATGGTGTTATAATCTATAAAACCTAGGTCTAAAGTCTAACTATAATATTTATTTATATATTGCATAAAGTATACAAATGTTCTCTTAATTATAATATATTGTTTTATTAAGATTTATTATTATTAAAAGTTATAAGATGATCTTTTAATTATAGATTGTTGTTTATTTAAATCATTCGATTATTAAAAGTTATAAAATAATCACTCAATTATTCATTTTATTCCAAACTTATCATTTTCCATTAAAAGTTTGACGTTATTATGAGTTAAACGTAGTGAAGAATCTAAAAATTTAAAAACGGAATCCAAAGTTTTAATGCTCTTGTGTTTTTTAAAAAATGTGTATGCAAATTTTCTTATTTTTTGTATTCCTCTTAACAAATTAAACTAAGTTTAACAACTCCCTTAAAATAATGGGCATGCAGTTTAACCACATAAAAGTTACATACATTTGCCCTTATTGAACGTTATCATGATCGTTGTGATATGACAAAACTTGATTCTAGAATCTCAAACGATTATCATATCACAATCATCATGTTAACATCCAACTTAGATAACTTCCGAATTTTTAACAGAAAAAGATGAGTTTATAACATAATGAATAGCTAGGTGACCATTTTGTAACTTTTAATAATTGACGGACTTAACAAAATAATATTTTATAGTTAAATGACAATTTTGTAACTTTTAATAGTCGAAATACTTAATACAGTAGTATCTTATAATTAAGGATCATTTGTGTACTTTACCCTTGTTTATTATAAAAGACCTAATACAATATGGTTAATCAATATTATAGTTAGGCTTTCGGATTTGAGCTTCGTAGATTATAAAATCCAATATGTTTTATGGTTAGTATGAGAACTATACGATGAATGTATTGTTTAGCTTTCTCTCATGTCGTTTTGCGGGTCACATTGACCCGACTTGACCCGGATAGTGCCTGACGATCAGCTCCAGCTGATGATCCCGCCAGTGGGCCTGCCCAATCTTTTGGACCCAGCATAAGAGCAAGCCCGTTTATGCCTAATCAAAACCGCCATACTGAGCCGCGTCTTTAGCTTGTTTTTGGGCTATTATGTTTATGTTATATTCCTCTGGATTCTGTTTTTATTATAATTAAGTCCTTTTGTTTACATTTTTCTCTGTCAACTTAGCCCAATTGACTTCTTTTTTTTCAGATTGGTCCTTAACATACACGTGTTATTATTTTTGTATATCTATTTTGTTTAATTATGATTTGAATTAGTTATTATTGTTATTACTAACATATTTTTTCTTTTATAGTGTCAGTTATTTAAATTGATTACATGTAACAATTTAAGGACTTAAGAGAGAGAAAAACATAATCTAATACCTCTTTCAATTCATTTCCCCCATTAAAGTAGAGCTTTCCCTTTATCTTTAGATTGCTTTACTTAGATAATTGATAACCCCTCCCCCTCTCCCCCAACCACAACAAACTCTACCACCTGCATTTACTAGTCCTAGGTCATTCATGAACCAGCTGGTCCATCCACCCTGCAATTAGGTTTACAATTAGGTAGCACCTTAAAAAGATCAAATGTCAGTATAGAGGAACATGTATTTTTATAACAAGATACCCTGCATGCACTGACAGATTAGAAAACAATTTACAATCATTTTACAGCCAAGTACCGAGAGATTTAACTAGTATAACATGAATCTGTTTAGCCAAGACATTTTCATGGAAATTTCCTCTGTTTTACTCTCTTCTGTTAAAGAATATGTTGAAAAATAATGATTTGAGCATAAGAATTGACACTTTGTGGAACTGAAAGTGATGGCTAACAGACAAGGGAGAAACAAGAAAGGCAATGGACCCCAAGGCCTTAAAAATATCAGCCATTATTACCATTTTGTGCAATGTGATTGGAGAAGATCTTTATGGGGCAACTTCTCATCAGAAGTCAATTCCATGCATGAAACTTTGTATTATATATGATTTATTTTTTGTTTTATTTTTTACATACACAACGACTTGAATTTAAGACTAATTTAAGCGACATCAAGTTGGTTACGGCTTAAACTAATCCCATTGATACTACTGGACTGGATTCTTCTCTAGTACACCATACAACATCCATTCCTTGGTGCTTTATCAGCTAACCTTGTGGTTAACCAACAACTCTAAAAGTAACCATTCTTTAAACTGGAATTAATTCATCTCAATCTTACCATGACCATCCAAATGCATTCAAAGAAAAAGACTATGACTTTATGCCCAATACCATAAATATACAGAAACCTATAAAAGCTTATTCTGATATTTACTACACCAAAAAAAAGGACAAAAATGTAAAAAAGATTAAAGCCTTCAAACGGTATAAAACAAAAAGTACAAGTATGTTTAAAGCTTTTGAACTTTGAGAAAAATCAATTCAGTCCTTAATTATTTTTACATTCAACTGAACTATTAAACTTAGAAATTGTATCAATTAAATCTTTGAATTGAGAATTAAATTATTTGACCAATTTTAACATCAACTCTTAGCATTTTTTAAAATATTACTTGGTTTGGCTTGGTTTGGTTTGGTTTGGTTACATGTCATTCACAGAATTACTTAACTGGTGGGTCTCTTTGTAGGCGATTTTCCTGGTATATCACCGGTGATCGGTATTATTACCGATCTAACACCGGTCAGACTATATTTCCCGATCTAACACCCTTAGCAGGAAAGCGCACCCCTGCACCGCGTTATATGATGATTTGGCGCCACGTGGGTATAGCGCACCCCCTGCCCCGCAATATACGGTGATCTGGCGCCACGTGGGTATAGCGCGCCCCCTGATCCACGCTATACCTGGATATCTGACACGTGGGGTATAGTGCGGTGCAAGGGACGCGCTATACCCCTAAATACCCAACCCCTCACGTCCCCATCCTCCCTATGAATACCCCCATCCTCAATCACTTTTATCACACCAAATTCTCTCAAATTTTCTAAATTTCTCTCAAATAGTCTCTTTTTAAGGTATATTTTATAATATTTTTACTATTATGTTTTTACTTTATTTAATATTTTACTAATATAATTCTTTTTGCAGATATATAATGGAGGGCAGTCTACTTCGCTCGGATGAAAATCATATATCTCTACACTTTGCTGATACGGTAACATTTTAACGTTTTAATTTAATTTAAATTATTAGTAATATTTAATTGATTTATTTAATGCATGATTATTAGATTAAGAATTAAATATCTCGACACTTTGCTGATACGGTAACATTTTAACTTTTTAATTTAATTTAAATTATTAGTAATAATTAGTTGATTCATTTAATGCATGATTATTAGATTAAAAATTAATTTTTGTAATTATTTATTTTTAGGAGAAGGACCGTGTGTTATATCCTTTTATTATGAATCTTAAGTTAGTGATACCCTGTAACATCCTCCATGTCGGGTGAGTGATTGATTTGCAAAGTTTCAACATTTGGGGATTAAAGTAGAATGATTATATAGTTTAAAAATAAAGGTTAGTAAATATGAAATGAAGGTAGGGACCAAATGGTCATTTGGAAGGAAATTTTAATTAAAATAAGATGTTATGGGGTATATGATACCCACGTGTGATTTTAGGTTCCAGAACCTCCCATTTCTTCTTCATTCTTCCTTATTTCTTCTCTTCCTTCTCTCAGCGTGTGGCTTGCAATTAAGGTAAGAATCTGAACTTGGTAGTTTCTTTGATGTTTTAAGATTGGAAATGAAAGCTTGGATGTTATATAAGCTAAAGGAAAGCTTAGATGACATTAAAACAACAAGATAAGTGATTTAGAGAATGATTTGGAAAATGAGTTTTTAGATGAAATTTTGATATGGATGAGTTTTTGATGTTTGAATCAGATTTCTGACTTGTCAACAAGCTAATTAAGAAGTATGAAGTAATAGAATTGAAATTAGAACAAGTTGAAATTGGAGTAAGATTCTTCAATTCTATATGGATGAGGAGTTTTCTTAGTTTTAGAGGTATTGAATGGTTAATAATTAGTTTAAGTAAGTGTATGAGAACTAAGAGTGTTAAAGGGATTGAAATAAGTATGTTTGAGCTGAAATTAGATGATTTCCGGGCTCAAAATAGGATTTCTGGGTTAGGGGAATCGGTACCCATTCAAGGGGAACCGATACCCCTTCAACGAAATGAATTTCCAGAATGCAAGAGGGGAATCGATACCCCCAGGGGGGAACCGATACCCCCTCATCGTATATGAAATTCCAGATTGCTTGAGGGGAATCGATACCCCCAGGGGGGGGAACCGATTCCCCCATGAAAAAAGAAGAAGAAAGAAAAGAAGCAAGACTAAGCTATTAATTCTTTTAATTAGTAAGCTATTAAAGCTTAATTTCAAGACATAGACGTCTGATGATCATCTTGAAAATTATGTTTATGTAGATACCGAGCCTACTCGAGTTCGGGAACAATCTACAAGTAGAATCGATCGAGGAAAAGGCAAAGAAGTATAGGTGAGTGCATATGCATAGCATGAATATAGTAGTATATTCAGTTCTAGACTTGTGATAAGTCTAGATTCCATATTTTGACATATGATTACATTCCATATTATGATACATGACATGAATTTGTATTAAATGTATTACATGACATGAATTCATATATATGTATTACATGACA